GAGAGAGAGAGAGAGAGAGAGAGAGAGAGAGAGAGAGAGATGGTTTTATGAATAAAGAGATAAAGCAAACCCCTGACTCCAGTCAGCGATCTCTTGGGAGGGCTGTGTCATAGCTGCCCCCAAGCTGGCACTGTGCGGTGTGCAGTGGCATTTTCAGGGTGTTCCATCCAGCCAAAGTCACTGGCACGGTAGGGCCCAGCCTAACTCTGCATCTGAGCAGAGCCTTCCTGCTTGAGTGGAGCTGACAGCACTTTGGCAAGGGAGCTGAGGTTCTCTTTTTGGATCTTGTAGGAGAGGAGCAAGTTTTGCCAAAGCGCTCTGCCCTGGGCAAGCTGTGATTGACTAACAGGACTTCCGGGGCCTGGAGCTGCTGCCGCTGGGCTAACTTCACGGCAGGCTTCTTGCTAAGGCAGAATCCCCGGACCTGGGAGATGCCAGGGCACCTGTCTCCTACGAGTTCCTCTTTCCCAATGGCAACAGAGCCCTGGGTACAGCCTGAGAAACCTAGAGTGCCAAACTGCCAGCCTGGCATCCTCCTCTTCAAGGGAGCTGAGGTGTCTCCAAGATCTGTCCTTTAGATTTCGCAGTTGGGTGAAGCCAATCACGTACATCTCTGCCCAGGACTAAAGACTGCTTTCATGGGAATGCTCGAGTGGTGAGCTAACTAGGACTATTAAGTAGAAAAAAAAAACAGAGCTTTTCCTCCATGTGTCTCTGTCAAATGGGCAGTTTGCCTTTGAGTGCAGTCCCCAGCGGCTCTCAGTCAGAAACGCCACCACGTAACAAACCCGCTGGCGATCTCCACGGAGACATGTGTCTGCCTATATAAGCAAATGTGATCATTAAATGATGCACACACTGAATAATGATCAAGGAATTAAGAGGTCCCAGAGATGGCAGTCTGGAAAGTTAAAATGTCAATTCAGAGCAAATTAAAAGCAGCTAGAAATGAATAACATACAGACGAATGCAAAAGCAACTTAATTTAAACATATTAGCGGATGGTGAGTACACAAATTAGAAGCAAACTTCATTTTGCACACAAAAATAAAAATGCTTATATTAATCAAAGCATATTGCAGCTGTAAAATATGATATTCTGGCTGGACTACAGCGCTGGACTCAAATAGAAACTTTTTCTTCCATGGGCCCTACCATAATGGTCTTCTTTTAAAATAAAGCATTCTTGTTTTTTCTGCTTTTAGTCAAATAATACAGTGTATTACTGGTATAACTAATATTTCATTTAGATATTAAAACATATTAGTAGCCAAAGAGGCCAATTCCAAGCGTAAGATTTCGCCAATACACACGTGAGGAGGAGACATTTTTCTCTTAGTTCTCAGTTCAACGTCCAGCCTTCTGGAACTAGCAAAGGCTGTAACAAATTATTATTTTAAAAGAGAGTCCTTTAGCAACTACCCAGGAGTGTGGTAGTCGCTCTTCTCCTAGGATCATAATTGTGTGTCTCCGCATAGTCTAAGACGTGTGAATTGCAAATCTAACAACCAGTTCACGTTAAAAATTAGACTCTCATTCGCTTTGGAGACCACTGAAAAGGGAGTTTTCCTTTAGCTCCTGTTTTTAGTGCATAGGATTAAAGAATCCTATCCACTCTCTCCTGTGGGTCAGTGCCACAGAGGTGCGTACTGTGTTTTTTCTATGGATGGGGATGGCTGGGCGGAGTTAGTCCTTACTTCTTAGAATTACTTCTAATCAAGACGATGTCTCCAGGCAGGTACAGCTGTGTTTTCTCTCAAAGAAGTCTGCTTTAAGTTTGTGGATGACAGCAGAATTTTAGATAGACAACACTTCCTCCTGTTAGGAGCTGTTTCCTGCGTACAAACACCTCATGCCTCTTATCTGCACTTAGTGTTTTGGATATGGAAGCCTCTTCTAGTGTTTGTTCTTGGGCCTAATCCTTACATTCAGCCATTAATTTCTTTGATATCTTTCTAGAATCTAGAATGACTTTTTTTTCTTTTTTGTCCTTTTGAGACAGGGTCTCACTACGCAGCTCAGACTGGCCTTGAGCTCGCTTTGCAGCCCATTCTGATGCTGAACTCGCAAGGACTCTCTTGCTCAGCCTCCTGAGTGCTGGGACCACAGCTGTGTGCCGCCACGTCCCGCTTAGAGTGACATTAAGAAGAAAGACACCTTTCATTCACTGCTCTCCTCCAGCTTTCCTTTCCACAGACAGTTAAGACCACAGATATACTTTAAAAAAATTTGGTCATGAACTGTACGTAGATCTGTTTTTTATATATAGACAGTAAGGTCTTTCTTTCTGTCCTTGCCACGTGCCAATAGTTTCCAGTGTGGGGGCCGGAAGCCGTCAAGGACTACATCACCCATGGAGCACAGCCCCAAACTTCATGGGATTTAAGAGCCGCCCAGACACCTCTCCCAGGCTGGCCCAAGTGAACATTTGCTACTTCTTCTCCATACTCTGCCTTCTCATTTCTGCTTTAGGTCATGCTTTTTTTTTTTTTTTTTCTTTTTCCAGAACCGGGGATTGAACTCAGGCCCTTGCACTTGCCAGGCAAGCGCTTATTCCACTGAGCCATCTCCCCAGCCTCCCAGGTCATGCTTTTTGCCATCTCTCCCACCACACTGAAAACACACTCTCCAAGCCCTGTCATTCGTGATCCCTCCACGGAAGTTCATTCCTCTCTCTTCTAAGCTCCTCACAGCTCTTCGTGTGCTATGGGTATACTGGTAAATGCAGCTATTACGATGTGCATGTTGTCCAGACCCAGCTAGGTTGAGAGTCCGACTCAGGGAAGGGTGCCACTGTCACTTTGTCATCGCTGTAGTCCTCCCACGGTAGGTACCCTCTCACTCTGCAGCTGTACCTTGAAGTTGCTAAGCCTGGGTTATGTCCTGGGATCTGTTCTAGGTGTGAGGTGGCCATCTGAGCAGTGGGGACCAGGTGGGCATTTGAGGATGGGTAGGAGGAGTCTCATTTGCTAGAATGGCACCACCGGAAAGCCCTGTAGTCAAAGGCCTTGCTTTATACAGAAGGATTTTGAGTCTCAACTGAGGATCTTAATTCAGAAATCCCTGTGGAATTAGGGTACCTGACAGGTTACCAGCAGAGTAAGGAGTTCTGATTCCAAGTCTATTTGGCACTGGGGATGCCCAGAGTATTGCTCAGTGTCTCTGGTCAGATGTTTACTAACATTCAGTTAGTCACATCTGGAAAAGAGTATTATTTTTTTTTTAAATTATTTATTCATTTGGTACAGGGTCTTGCTACGCAGCTTGGACTCGTAGTGATCCTCCTGTTTTCAGCCTCCCCAGCGCTGGGATTACAGGCGAGCACCACGATGCTCAGACTCCGTGGCCGGCTCGGCCTGCCCTGGAGGCGGGGCTGGCACAGCATGCAGTGCTGGGGACTGACCCGTGGTCCCCGAGCTTGTCTAAGCTTGCATGAGCAGGCGCTTCATTCTGCCGAGCTATCTCACCGGTCCAGGAACATGATTTTAAAAACACTTTTCATATTTACAACTCAGGCGCAGAAGAATAAAACGCGTTTTCAGAACTGCCACTGCTGGGTGTAGCTCAGTGGTATGGGGAGTGAGCTTGTGCAAGGTCCTGGGTTCAATTCCCAGCTGAAATAAAAAGGAAGGAAGAAAAAAGAGGAAGAAGGAAGGGCAGTGCAGAAGCTGGATCTGACAGTGAGCACCTGTCCAGCGCAGCATTTACTTCACCTGCCAGAGCCAGCCTTGCCTAGAAGGGGCGGGTACGGCCAAGGGCTCCCTGTGTCTGGAGATTTTCCCATGGGGACTGAGTGGCTGTCCACCAGGGAAAGGGTCCTGGACCTAGAGGAGGGCACTGGCCCGGCAGGACTGGATTAGGCATGTCCCAGAATGTCTCCCATCTCGAAGGCCATTGCATCTTATTAACAAGGAGCTGACAGAAAACAGCTGGTGGGGATGCCGTCCAGCTGCCTGTTGGGACCCCCAAAACGAATTCTCAGGGGTCCCAGGAAGGTTGCCAATAGCCTGCCAAACAGCAGTGGGGGCCCCGCCCGATGCTGATGGATGCCCACGACAGCCCTGCGCGCCACAGACACATGCCGACCCAGGCCCGTCTGAGATGCTAGTTATCCCCAGCTGTGCTGCTGGCCACACACTGGCGTCTTCCAGAGGTGCCTAAGGTTCCAGTCACGGCTGCGTCTGGCTCAGCGGCGACGGAAACACAGCCTCTCCTCTCTCCTCAGGAATGCAAGGCTTCCTAAGAGAAGGAGCTCAGCTCTTCCACCCAGCTATCCAATAACCCATTGCAGCAAGCCAAAGATTTGTAGCTCTACGTTTTCTTACAGGGTCATGTTTTGAAATAAGGAAACCTGAAAGATAAGTGATCCTTTTAATTCTATTTTTAGCAATCTCAACACATGGGGAGCGCTTTCTTGTGAGAGTGCTTTTTTTTTTTTTTTTTAACATTTTCAGTCCCAGTTATTTTGAAATAAGCTTCACATTGCGCTGCTCACTTTACCTGTAATCAGGTGCCTACATTCATGACATCTGAAAAACGGGAAACTAGAACTATGTAGACAGCAATTATTTGAAGGAAACGCTCTGTGTGTGTGTGTGTTTGTGTGTGTGTGTGTGGGTGGGTGTGTTGGAGGATTATGTGGCAAAAATGGAAAAAATTAGTGAACCAAATTTACCTAAGACAGATTATTGTTCCTGTATGAGCTTGAAAAGGGTGCCGGGATGGTTGCTCTTTGCTCGGACAAAAATCTAAGGAGAAAGACGAATATCTGCTGCTTTAGCAACATTCTTAGGAGAACGCTGACAGAGGAGAGCCTGCAGCTTGGCTCCTTCGTGTGGTAGGAGTCGAGGAGGTACCCTCCTCTTAGCACACGTGCACCCCCACGCTCCTTTCTGTGTCTTCCCCTCCAGGCCTTTCTGCAAGGCTGTCTCACAGCATCCACACTCCACTTACAATTCGGCTAATAAACGTGTGACGTAGCAGCACTCCAGCCCAGCTCAGGGCGGAGCTGGCCGGTTCAGACCTCTCTGCATACTCCCAGCAGGCACGTAATATTCAGCCCAAATTGAAAACAACTACAATCAGACTCGTCAACTCACAGTACAGTTTCAGACAGTTTACACAGACTTACTTAGAAAACAGACACATGTACATAATTTCCAGGTGCTAATTCACAACTCTTACCCCACTATAAAAATTTAGATTTTCTAATTGAACTGGTCCACCAGTTCAATTTCTTTTCATCAGTTAAAAAACAAAAAACAAACCAACAAAACATTCCCAGACTATGTCTTCCAATTGTGAAAATGATCTTGATTCTATCTTTCCTTCTGATAGTACTAAGAATATTTAATGCTTCCAAAGGAATAGCAGTCATATGTTTGGCTTCTGGAGAATTTAACAGATTATAAAATGACTTTCGTGACACTGCCACAGATCTTCACGACAATTCTCAGAGCTTGGGTAGGGACTTTTTCAGGAACCAGTTTCGCAGATGAACACACAAGTTCAAAGAGATGAAAACCCTGCCTTCTGGCTGGCCAAGGGAAAGGCAGACCCTCCCTCTAGGGCTCTTCCAGGAATAGTGAAGGGTAGCAATCATTTCTTTCTGGCAGTAGTACCTTCTGCATTTAAACTCAAGGAAGTAAGCGCTATTTCAAGACCGCTGCTATTTTCAAAATGTGAATATTACTCATTTCTATCTTTCCTTTTCACAGTTATTCTCCAAAGCACGACTGATTTGATTATCGTGAGTGATTAATAAGCGATGGGGCCCTCATTATGCCTTTTGCCATGGGGACCTGGCTCTGCACGCCTAGAAGGTGACAAACCATCACAAACCTGGGCACAATCAGCTAAAATTTAGGATTCTTAGTACTTGAAAATAAGAGCTACCATTAACCTTCTCTTGGGAGGGCAAGACGAAACTTCTTTGGTGCCTCAAATAAAGAAGAGGCAGAAAAAGGTATGAATGTAGTATTAGAGGGAGGCTCTGGATTCATAAAACTGCTTTAAAAAGGGCACGAGTCAAGACCTTCAAGTTGAGGAACAGCTTTTGGAATATGGTCTTAAAAATGTAACAGCTTTTGTCCTCATTTGCTTGGACTGCTTGCTAAAGCCCAAAGATATAAATGAGTAGAGAGAACAGAATGATTTTCTTAAGAGAGTATGGCGGGGGCAATGATGTCAGCCGATGCTGGGCTCTGCTGGAGCTGTCTGGCCACACTGAAAAGTGCTCTACATAGTTCAGATAAAGGAGTCTGAGGCCTCCTCCAGCAGCCCCAACCTCGGGTCACTTGGTTGGCTGGGGATGGAGCTGCCACCGCCACTGCCACCGCCACTGCCACACGCTTCGAGACAGGTCCTAAGCTCTGCGGTTGTGGCCATCAACCAACTCACAGCTCTAAGAATTTCCCATGACTTGCCCTGCAGGAGGTAATCGAGAAGCTCATGAGCATGCTCAGGAAACTCCGGGTTAACAGGAGTCTGTATCACCAGTTCCTCAGTTTCCAAGTGCCCGTGGGCAAGAGAGTGAGGCATGGAGGATTTCCTAAGCACCTGTGGCTATGAGAACTTTTTTTTTTTTTTTTTGAGGTTATGTTGGAAAGGCTTAGACCTGGGAATGGCAAACCACAGCTCTGTGCGTAAATCAAGTTTTACTGAAACACAGTCACACTTGTTTGTTTACGTAACTAACTCTCTTTGTGCTGTCATGGTAGAATGAAGTGGTTAGGACAGATGACGTGACTCTAAAAAGCCTAAGTACTGATTGTCTGCCCTTTTATAGAAGAAGCTTGTTGACCTTCCCGAAAACCCCACAGAACACACATCAGGAAATATTTCCTGAGGATATTATTGTTTGAGCAAAATACATAGTACCGGCAAGGTTTATCTCTGTTAATTCTTATTTGCGTTATGCAATAAAATGAAGGCTCCACTCTGTGAGCCATTTCACACCCCGCCACCCCACCCTCCCTTCCGTCAAGGAAAGTCTGAGCGCTGGGATAGGAAGCATATATGGTGTTTGCTTTCTGCCCATTAACAGCGAAAGCCACGTGGCACCATTAATCCCTTTCTGCATCACTCTCCAGCCATCTGCACCCAAATTCCGATACTATCAAAAGAGGTGTCCTTACTTGACTGGTTCCCATGACTCCCGCTCAAAGCCCCTGTGAATGGATTGTGCAATTGAGGACTCCATCAGATCCACATATCTAACCACAAGTGGGGCAAACAGGTCTTGCAGGTGTTTGTGGAATTTTCCATTGCGCAAATTATCTAGAACAGATAAGCAAAAGCTTGGTAAGAACCGCTGGTTGCTGTATCTGTGGAATAAGTACACGAATGTCTTCTGTGTTCAGTACCCTGCTTTGAAGGAGGCCAAAGAAAGAAGAAAGAGAAAGATGTGAACACCATCGAAGCCCATGCTGCAGTTTGTCTAGAAGGAGAACAGAGTTAAGAGCACTCTACCTTTCTGAGCAATTTCTTGCCCTTTCAAAATATCTATCAATCTGGCATGCCCATATCTGGTAATCCGAGCAACTGCTTTGAAGATAACAATATGCACTATATAAACCATTGTTAATTTGCTATCATCTTGTTTTGGAATTCTGCATCATTTCTATTTTTTTATTATCTTAAAAAAGAGAACACTTACCCTTTTTATGTTACTCCTCTAAAAGGAAAAACAATCATGCTTTTAAAACACGCACACACACACACGCACACACACACGCACACACACACACGCACACATATACGTCAATCCACACCATTTTTTAATGTTTTCTTTGTATCGCTCCTTTTCCTCTCACTAAGTTAGTTGGAAGGAAGGACGCTTTCTACTGCCTCTTCTCTTCCGAGCTCTTCCTGGGAGGATGTATTTTATGGCTGCTGTTGCTATAAGACACAAAGAAATGCTGGCAGTGTGATTTAACTAGGGACGGTTTCCATCCAGAAAGCGAGGAAGCTAATTAACTTGTGCCAGTGCACGTAAAATACAAGGAAGGACCCCTCCTCTCGCGCTGCTCTTGGGCTCTTTGGTCGGTTAGGAGAGGGCTTCCTGGAATGGAGCGCTCTCTGCAGGGGTCACCCATCCGCGTAAGGTCTGGGTGCCTGTGGGTGGGTGTGTTTGCTAGTAATACAGCTATGAAGAACTCTACCCGACTGGCGGTCTTCTTGGTATAGAGACATCTTAGCACCATGTTAATCTGCAGACTACATGAGAAAGTTTGCATTGAAAGATGATACATACAGTCGGTACGGAGAAAATCATTCAGCAGCTGAAACACTGGAAAACTGTCCCACGTATCTGGAGGCTGCACCTCTAGCGCTGCATCCATGTCCACCGCGAAGAGGGACAGGAACGTCTCTGCGTGCTCCACCAGTAAGTCTGACCACCACGCAAAGGCCTTTGAAATGTGGCAGAAAAACAGACAAAGAGGTGATGAGCTTCTTCCCTGGACACAGGACGCAAACTGCAGCCCTCACTGCTTCAGATGGGTTGTGCACCCTGCAGGGTTTGGTCATTTTATTGTAAAGAGAACAGCATTCTGGGTACAAATGGGAGTCTGAGTCCAAGGCAGGGCTCTTCGTGATACCAGGCCTGCCACAGAGGGCTTGTTTTCTGACACGTAGGTCAGAGGATGCAGCTGCAGCCACGACAGATGTGGAAATCCTGTTCAATTTACAATAACTTGGAAGGTTTCGAGTCATGCTCTGTATCATTGCTGTTGGCTAGCTCTTGCTCTAAGGTATCCGAGTTGGGGAGTTTCTTCACTGTGTTTATGGGTTTTCTGCTGGTCTAACTTGAAAATCTGCAATTACCATTCACTTCTGTCTACATATCTTGGGCTCAATTGCCTTTGGTCTCTTACAAACTCGAGGACTCATGGCTCCCTACACAAGGGGACCATTCTTCCTATTTCATACTGGGTTAAAGGAAGCCATTGCTATAATCGTCACAGAACTTCTAAGGTGAGATCTCGTTCTGCAAAGCAGCCTTTGGTTTTACATCCACGCTGGAGGAAATACCAGGCCTACACTAGGAGACACCAAGGGACATCAGGACTTACGTTTCCGGGGGTGGACACATACATACATTGAAAACCAAAAAATATCAGTGAAGTAACTCATTTGCATGCACATGAGCCCTTGAAAATCATTGTGCGCGATCTCAGGGGTGACATTCACATCAGCCCGGGCCAGATGTGAATGCAGTTCAAAGGCATGCATGCATATTGGCTAATCATTTCTGGCAGGGAGCATGCGGAATGAGTGGCGGTGTCACCAGGCCCTTCTTGCTGATTTCAAAGACAGCAGTAAAACAAAAGCGAACTGCCAGCCTCTTCTTGTGCCCCCCCCATTCAGTGCTGTGAAGTATTTACATCAGAAACACTTTCCAGAGCATTCACCAAAAATGATAGGGAGGCATTTGGAAACATGAAAGATGATTATGGAACTAATTCCATCAATGAAAGGGTTTGTTCAACGGCCAAGCTCTTCTGTGGTCTAGTTATCGAAGGGATATTCTAACAGCCACTTGGAGGCAGAATAGGGGTCCGTCTCTCTTTTTTCATGAGAGTTCTCTTTACTTACTTCTCCTTTATCAACATGTGGCTGGTTTGCAAATTAAATGGAGAAAATCAAGTCATGGACCATTCTGTAAGGTGTGCTTGGCTGGAAATAGACACCTGCTGTTTGCGTTTTACAGTAAAACCTCAATGATTCAGAGTAAAGGGAATCTAGACATGCTGGTCTGTCAACGGAAAGGCCTAAATTGTTGAGTTTTCTAAAAAGAGGTGTCGCCTTCCTGTTCTGAATGCAGTCTGTAGCGGGAAACTGAAATACACAACGTCTACATTAGCTAGTGTATGACTGTATCATACACGGGCAAGCTTTTAATGCTAATTGTAGATAAGTTGAGTTACAGATTGAAGTTAAAAAGATAGAAGATTTAATATCAGAGGTCTTGGGATGTACAAAAGTGCTGGATGCCTCGAATGTGTATGAAGAACCTTCAGCATTTCAAGAAGGAGTTGAACCATTTCAGTGTTATTTTAAAAAAAAATTAGAAAAGCTATCTCTGCAGTTAAATTGTCTGCAATCAAATTGTATTTGGGTCTGAACTGATGAGGTTTTATTGTAGCTTTACCACCCTGGGGCTTGGAGCTTTGTCCACTGCCTCCTTGGTTAAAAGAAATCATCCATCCCACCCCTAGAGCTTTCTCAGCTCCTTGTCTTTTATGTAGAGACCATATAATTGCCAGACTTTATTGGTATCCCATTCCCACCCCTAACCCTACATGGAAGCCTGAATCTCATCAATTCTGATCCAGGATATCTGTAGAATTCCCAGGAGCACACCAAATGTTGGGTAGGACTTAGTCCCTCTTTTTTTTTTTTTTTTCTTGAGACAGGGTCTTGCTATGCAGTCCAGGCTGGCCTTGAACTCACTATGTAGCCCAGGCTGGCCTTGAACTTGCAGTGATCCTCCTGCCTCAGCTTCCCAAGTGCTGGGACTATAGGCATGCACCACTATGCCTGGCTAGTTCTTATTCTTGAATTAAATGATTAACTTCATATCTTCAGGATGAATCTAAGAAAACAATTACTGGGAAGACTGTCCTAGCTTCCCAGACATGAATTTGCTCAAGGATGACAGGAAAAAACAAACCAAAATAAAAGCCAACCACGAATGTCTGAAATTAAAAAATTTTTAGTCCAACTTCATGTCTGGTTCTAACCAGCTTTTTAATTTAAAAGTCATAAGTAAACCAGAGACCATAAGAAGCACCACATCTACCATCTGTAGAGAATTCAGTCCTTTGTTGTGATTTTTTTTTTCTTGTCTTTTTGAGACAGGGTCTCACTATGCAGTCCACCCTGGCATTGAGCTCACTTTGTAGCCCAAGATGGTCTCGAACTTTCAGCGATCCTCGCGCGTCATCAGCCTCCTGAGTGCTGGGATTACAAGTGTGCGCCACCACGCCCCGCCACCCTTGTTGTAATTTAGTGCATTACCAAGTACACACCTACAGTCCCTGCAATGATAATGGTACGGATTGGCAGCACTTTGATTTCTTTGTCCTGAATTATCAGTAAAGGACCTGGCAGATGAGTTCAGAATTCTGGTGACCCAAGAGAATTTAAATTTGTGGAAGTGGAAATGGAGCTATTTTGCATATGTGAGGTCATGCTTTTCAGAACCTTAAAGTCAAGTGTGTTTTTCTGAGAGGGAGAAAGGTTCTAGCAAGGGCACTTATAACCAGAAAGCCCCTTGCAGTCCTAGTCAATAAATAGAGCTTGTGTGACTACCTTTGGTGCTAAAGGTGAATGCTGTTTTCACAGCTGAGCAAATCCACAATGGTCGTGGGCTCCTGAGGTCCCAATAAACCTTTCCAAAGATGATGAGGAGCCACACAGTAGCTCTCACATACTTACCCAGTGCTCTGTGTTATTCAAAGACAGATTGTGCGCTTTAGGGTACAGCTCACCACACTGAACACACTGTAGATTCTGCACACGAACTCACATGTATATATGTACCCCTCTGTGTACCACAATACATATATACATATACATACGTATACATAGAGAGAGATTGGGGAGGGCAGCAACAGTACATGTAATAACTCAGGCTCCTCAAGCAGAATTAGGTTGCAAGCAAAAGAGAAATGTGACAACTGTTATCACACACTGCGTTCTGTACAGTGTCGGGTATTATTAGCTGATGACAATGTTTTTTGGAGGGGGCATTTAATTATTTTGTATAGGAATTAGTCGTGGCTTTAAAGATTATTATTATTTCTTTTTTATTCAGGGAAAGATATGTCTGTGTCAACTTTTGTCTGTGTGGTACCAACCAACAGGGTTGCCTGAAGGTTAAGATCTGTGCTTAGGATATTTTATTTATTTACTTATTTATTTGGGTTTACTGAGCCCTCAGAAAATACGGGTAGCAGAAAGAAATCTTCACCCTTTTTTGAAAGGAAACCCTGCTGCTGGCTCCAGACTAAGCTCCGCCCAGGCAGCTGGAGCCCTGTTTCTATCGAGCTGGGTCCTCTGCTGGAGTCCCCTGGGAGCCCCCAGCGCAGGGAAGCTGGGTCAGTGCTGGCCTTGGCATTGCCGGGACCTGCCTCCGGGGCTGCAGTCTGTGAGAGCAGGCTGTGCATGGTGGGTGTGTGGGCCAGGGCCTCCCCACACGGAAGGCATGCACCTCTTCCTCGGACGCCTTCTGTCCATTCTCAGTCATTTGGTTCTTTCCAAGACTGTCCTTGTTATGGTCAGATACTCACACAGCTTGCCTCCTTAGGAATTTCCTGCAGAGCCACATCAGCCAGGTTTCGTGGGGGGCTTGCTACGTGCCAGGCCCGATGCCAGACACTAAGCTTAGGCGGGCCTCCAGCCTAACAGCACCATCCTCTCTTGCCTCCAAGTGACCAGGTCGAGGTCACACAGGAGGGAGGTGGTGCAGCTGGAACCTGGACTTAGCTCTCTGGCTCGCCGCCTCCCTCCGGCACTCCGCACCGGCACTCCTGCCTTGCTGCTCTTCACAGGGCCCCGAGGCTCACTTCAGATGCCCAGCGTGGCTTTCCAAAGGGCAAGGTTTCATGGTGAGTAAAATGATTAATTGGATCCTAAACATTTATCTAAAAGAAAATTACTCTCTGGAATTCCTGAATATGCTAAAGTTTTCACCACTGACTTCTAAAGAGGTAATGAGAACAAAATTGAAGTTATATCTAGCTTATGTATTTATCCGGGTAAGGTCCAAATACATAAAATTAAAGTATTTTGTGAGCACTGTTACTGGGGCAGTGTTGGGTAATGATTAATCCTTAGTGCAAAAGGCCTCTTTAGAAATGTAAAAAAGGTATCTTCTTCTGAATAATTTTCCTTCAGTGCTTCTTGAGACATTGAGGCAAATATATAGCCTCCCTTCAGCTGTGGTGGCCTCAGGATGACTTGGTTGTGAATTTAGTATCTGTCGCTTTACTGCAATTTAAAAGCAAAGTGCGACTGGGACAACCTGTCTTCTTTTTATCCGCGTCTTCAGAACTGTGTGGCTTTGGGCCAGGCCTCGACCACTCTTCTCTGGGGCAGGCCAGGGCCCTGGCAGTCTTCAGAGACAACACTGCGCACGCCCAGAAGAACACACTGCCATCCCTTGAGCCCCCAAAGCCTCAGTCATACAAAGGAATAGAAAAAAAAAAAATCCTAACGTGACTTAATTTCACGCGTCTGGAAGTTAGTAGGTATGTGTGGTTGGAGGGTGTGGACTTGATTCCCTCCTTGCACAGTTGCTAGGTGCTGTGTGATTAGGGACCCCCTCCTTGGGAGCTGTACCCCATTCCCAGATGGCTTCCAGGGGTTCATTATTCTATGACACTCTCTCTATATATAAATACTGTATATATGACTCACATACAGACAGCTGTAGAGGAAGATTAGTACCACTCCGACGAGCTACTAGCTGCTAAGGTCAGCGCTCATTTGCTGTAGTAAAGGTGAATACAGACGGACATAGAGAACTACCACGGGCTAAGGACAGAATCAAGGCAGGTGGGAGGCGAGTACCAGGATGTAACCGCAGTCGTCGTAACTCTATCCATCGCTTCATGCACACACAAGAGAATCACCCCACATTTACCCTGCGTGGAGGGCCACCCATGTCACAAGCAGTCCACTAGAAGTTGCTGTTACATTCCTTGGGTCAGTGTTAGGAAGCAGGAGCACCGGGAAGAGTCCCGTTAGAAGACACGGTACCGGAGGGGCATGCACAGAGGAGGAGAGCAGGTGGCCGCTTCGCTTGGTTTAGTCACATACCTCTTTCCCCTGCCACGATCAGCCAAGATTGAATGGAACAGTAGAGAAACAGGGAGGAAATTTAAATACGCAATCAGGCATTAGTCGGGATGGTTGGGTTTAGGGTGTGTTATATCTTAGTTAGCTATTCGGTCAACTTTCACTTGGTCATGGGAATGCTTATTTGGGGAGACTCAGGAATTACGGGGATGGAACACCTTTCTGCTCCTTTTCTGTGAATTTGAATGTAGAGGAAGAGGGAGAATTGGTGTCATTTTCAAAAGGTTATTTTAAGGGATGATTTTAAGGCTCAGTTTGAAGTGAGCGGTGACCTAGCTGTCTACTACGATGATGTTTGCTCAGAAGGGAAGGTTAGGTCCTTACTGGTTTGGAAGTTAGTTGGTCTTAAAATTCTTTAGCTTGTAATTATTGTAAGAGTCATCATTTTAATGGTGGTTTGTAAAAAACAAGTAAGTTGTATTAGAGACCCGACAAATTGAACAACACAAATAACTTGCTCGGGCACCACAGAGCGGGCAACTGGGGTGACCTGAGTTTAAAACTAATGAAGACTGCACAGGCAGAGGAGGTGACAGAGATCAGTTCAAAAAGATGGCTTGCAATCCACACACCAGAGAACCAATCAGAACAACAGTGGTGGCAACAAAAACAACCACGAGACCAAAAAATATTTTGTGTGCTTTGGTTGAGGGCGACCCGATGTTGCTTGAATACTTAGCTTTAAGATGCACTCACCTCCTGGTTCATTGCTAAAAACATCAGAAAATTTAGCAGAAAGGCATAACACGCAACCACGCTTAGGTTGTTGCCAACAACCTTCCAAAGACTTCTCCTTCCACAACTTCCACTTTCATTCTCTTTGCAAGCTCAGTTAGGAGAAAATGGGAGTTAAACATCTTAGTCACAATGTGGTGGGCAGAGCCCACCTGCACCGCAGCTAAGGGTCCTCAGAGACGCCCCCGCGGAGCCCGCTCACCTCTGCGTGGTGCTCTTCGTTCTGCTGAAGAACTTCAATGACTAGCTCAGCAAGGCGGATCGTGTCTTCGAGCTTTTTGGCAGGAGTGATTAACCGGCCTACATTTTCTGTAGTACAAGAATTGGTGTTAACATTCAGCGAAGGAGGCCCGCTAGTCTGGTGGCCGTTAGAACTAGTGGATAAGAAATTTCGCATAGTTATCAAGGTCTTAAAAAAAGATTCATGCAAATGGTAAGTGCCGTGTAATCAGTAGTGAGCAAACCATAAAGCCACCTTATTGTCATTATCACCATCATTATAGTACATACTAGGAAAAGCAGCGCTCCAGCTTCAAATTTGGACATGAGGCTACATTGAATCCGTGACAGCTCACTTCAAATTTAGTGACATTTTGTATGCACGTTCTTTAAAGACAGCATGAGTGTTCTATCTTACATCACTTAAGACTGTGTTTGGGCTACCGGATGTGGGAATGAAAGAGAAGATTAATCTTGATTTCCGCTACATTGTTTTGAAGATCGGGCTCTGAACATTGAATGTTACAACATCGTTTTTCCTTACAGGTCTGCAAGGTGGGCAGGCCTTCATTTGGAAAACGTAGATCCAAAGCTTTCTTTGTTTCTACCTGTCCAGGGAGAAGTCTGTAAGAAAAGTCAGACATTCTTGAGCCATTATGTGGAAGGCAGGATGAAATCACTGAAAAGGGTGTTGGGAATGAATGCTCGCATGAGGTGGAGGTAGCTTGTGCCCCTGGCTGTTTGCTCTAACTGAGATTTTCTCATTTAAATTGCAACAATGGACTCGTTTTTTTGGTTTGTATTTAGTCTCTCTTGATTGACAAGCTTGTGTTGGAATTCATCTGGAGAAGAAACCAAACCATCTCTTAGGCAGCAGCCTTCCTAGAGCTGAACCCTTGAACGCTTGGGAGGTCATTAAGTTCCAAAATATTGAAAATTATTTTCCTCTGAGAAAACAGTACTATTTAGAACTAGAGGTTTTCTCTGAGTCAGTGAGATCGCCTGAGTCCCTTCAGTCTCAACACAAAGGGGAATCTGCATTTCTTGCTGAGTACCCGTCAGGTCTTGAAGAGTCAGAGTCAGGAGCGTGTGAGATCTAACGGAAGTAAGGGTCACTCAGCACGACTCCACGGGACGCGTGCAAATGTTCACAAAGGCACTGCTGAAATGAGCTTCCATCTGAGGTAGGTACGTTTTGACCCTACGATGCTGTTTGCTAAAAAGAATTACCTAGCACTTCATAGGAAGGTTTTGTTTTGTTGGGGCAAGAGAAATGATTTAAACAGAATCATAGGAGATAAGTAATTAAAAAAAAAGACCTTATAATTTCACTTTGGGCATTTCTTAGGTAGGTGGTGATAACATATAAAACCATTAGTAATTTAGGGTTTAATTATAATCAAAGTCACAGAAATGCTTAGCTTCTGCCAGTGAGAGCTAAGATGGACCAAGGGGACTGGGTAAGATTTCTAGCTGGTAAAAGTTCAGTCCAGCCTGGCCCAAAGGCCGGTGTGAAGATGGGCCTTGTGGATTTCAGGTCTGGAATCTCCATCATCTTGGCTGTGGCCTGGTGGGAATGGGGCCAGATCTTTTCTGGACATGAAGGTAGGAGCTGTGGGGAATGTGTGTGTACACACCACACAGAGAAGAAGACCAGCTCCCAGCAAGGAGATGCGGGTTCCAGAGCCAAATGCTCATTGCCTGGTCCTGAGCAATAATACTTGCAGGAGAAAGAATGAGTGGTAGAGTCAGCTTCTGGGTCTTGGGGCGCACCTGGCCTGTGTGGAATTTTGTAAGTAGACTACCATAATTTCATCAATAGACTTTCAGGCATTTCTACAAACATACTGCGTATATATGTTTGGGTAATAGGTGTAGAGTGAGGTATTTGCATTTTGATAGTAAATATGCACAGACTAGTATTTTTATGAGTTGATATTCATGTTTACACATCAATGTGCAAATTCCTCATCCTATGCTTGTTACCCATTGGACACATACACCCACATACACACACCACACACTTACATATACTTTCTAGTGACCAGACAAGCCTGTACATTAATACAAATCTGCAGGAAATCCCACTTGGGGTACATCTTTGAAATCTCTCACTTTAAGAACAGATAGCATTGTCCTTTTGGGTGGAATGTACCCCAAATCTAGGGAATTCTGGTTGTATATGATGTATGATACAGAAAGGAAATAATTCCCACCAGTATTTTTCTGCAATCATAAAAAATATGATTGAGTTGCACGTCTGGAGAATTCCAAGATGCGTAAGCTAGGACTGCCTGAAGGTTTGTTTTAATATCCAGTTCTCTTAGATTGACTACAATAGATATCAATAGATACACATAAAGTGTGCATATATATATGCACACAGATATGTGTATACCTGATGTATATATACGGACAGTATGTTTAATAAAACCTTTTGCAGTGTCACTTTAACATGCAACCATGAAAATAAGAAGGTCAAGGACCCTTTAATCTAGAACACTTGGTCTGCCAATTAACCCACGTAGCCAGAGTTTCATTTACTATTAATTAGTTGTGATTCCACTATCTATAGATCAAGCGCTTTAGTGAGATGATTTTCCCGTTCATTTGCATAGTTGATTTACTAGCTAAATGGCAAAAATGTCCTAGATGTGATTTCTCCAAGATGTTGTCTTTAAAGAAAATATTGTACAAAATCCTTCGGCACTTTCTCCTTCCCCACCCAAAGAGGTCAAGGAGAAGTTTGTGCTTCAAAACGATTTTTTTTTTTTTTTGTCACTTCTGCTGTCTTGAAATGTACTGCAATATTCCTGCCCCCCAATCTTGCGCTAGCTGGAGCGCTGGCGAAAAGCAACTAAAAATACGTTATACTTAAGAAACATTTCATACAACAGAGTCGAAGCTCATAACATATAAAAATTGTCATGCAAAATGTTATGCAACAACGTTATTTTGTGCTGACATTGAGGTTTGAAAATGTTGCGTATGTCAGACAGAGCTAGACAAAAAATGTGGACATTTGGAAATAAATGCTCTCTTGCGGATCTCAAAACCTCCATTATTAAACTCGAGAGCCTGAGCCTCAGCTTAGTATTCCAAATGGAAACAAAATTTCAAGGAGAAAAGTTAACAGCAAAGCAAGCTAAGCTAGGAAGCTGTTGAGTAAAGGAATGATAAGTTTACAGTACTTGGTTTTGGCCTAGGCATGCCTCTGAGCCTCTGACATAACATGCTGGTCTGCATTTGTGTAGGTGGAGGAGGAGGCCTGGAAGGTAGCAGGGGAGCTGCTCGGGTAGGCGAAGAGACAGTAAAAAAAAAAAAAAAAAAAAAAAAGGTAAAGAGACAAAGTGACTTTAACGAAGGGTGACAAGTAAAATGACAAACTCTGAAAAGAACAACCGAATAAGCAGAACCGATAAAACGTGAACGGAGAGCTGCTGCTTTCTGAGCATTACTCCAACATGACGGAGGCGGGACATTATGGGACAAGGACCTCTTACCAGCGTCTCCAGTACTGTCCCTAACAAAACACCCAGAAGCGGAATGCGAATGCTGGGTGCTTTATCCAGAGGGATGTACCTGAATGGTGGCCACAGCATCATAGGCCGTAAGAAGAGCGGTATTCACACCACAAAGAACACCTGTGTGTTAATAACGGCTTCTTCCCTTTAGACGACCAGGAACAGGACACGATGTGACAACAGCTGGACACTGGCTCTCCACCCTCCACAGCCTACTTCTTTCCTAGGCAACCCCACACCTGCCACTAAGCCCTACGTGGATTTCTGTTTCCTCACCTCTAAACCGAGAATATGTTCTCTTTATCTGCATATCTAGCAGGGTTATGGACAAAGGCAAATAAAACAAGGGGCAGGATAGATCCCTGGGCAGTCTGCAGCGCTCCCCAGCACCCACACATGCTTATTGTTACCTCCGAACTGTGAGGAGGAGGCTGAAATCAGGCGCTTTGCAGAAGCAGCTGAAGGACCATTATTAGTCCAAGTGCTCCCAGAAACATTCCTGCTCCCTTTGTGGAATTTCAACATGTCCAAATCTGTCATTTGGGGAGAAATGTGTGGTTTCTGATTGTTTCCAGCTCATTTAATTATTTTCAATTTGGAATTCGCGTGGCTTTTATATTGTGGGTTGAATCATATATAAAAACTTGCCAGCTTATCAAATATGTTACTTGCTATTCCAAATGTTAGAATACCGTAATCAGCACTTGACCCATCTGTCATGTGGCTTACAATATCGGCACTGCAAACATACCATAACAATAGCCTCTCCGCCCGCGCAGGCACATACCATAACAATAGCCTCTCCGCCGGCGCAGGCACAGAGCCCCAGCAGCCTCCACAGCCCCTCTCTCTAATGAGTGTCTCATTAACCTCAGACCTGCCCTTGTCTACTAGTTCTGCTTCATAAAGCAGATCTGTACCGCAAGAGGGACATGCTTCATTGCCAAGGCTGCTTCTTGCTTTGCTTATATTTTCAACAGGGAAAATGAATTTTACTGCAGGCATATAGGAAGCGGAATTTTAGTGACATTAATAGAAAAAAAGATAATATGGATAAATACAATGTTCTGGCAAAACCATCTATTAAAAGCCAGCTTGTTAGGATCCTTTTCTTGCTGGACCACTGGAATGTTTTGAACGCAGGACTGAAAAAATTCATTAACAGTTTTTTTATTTTTAATTGGGTGGGAAAGAGTGTATGTAAACAGAAATGGATCGATCATTTTTTAATGATAATGACTGCAAGGAAGGCAACTGCTGATGTTGATCATGAGAAATCCTTCCTCCATCTCTCGTGTTTTGTGGACAGCCCTGTCTAGTGGTGCGTGTCTCTCTGTTACACATCTTGGCGACTCCTGCCGCGAGTGCCTGTTACCTGTGTGGGCGAATCCGTGCAGCCCATACTCGCTCTCTTCAAAGCAATGGATGTGTGTGAAGTCGCCGTGAGCGGCGATGAAGAAAGCAGTGAAGCAGCCCTGGGGTCCACCCGTAACCCGTGACGCAGCAGACACACATTTCAGCTCCACAGGTCTTGATGAGAAATTCTAAGCGAACTTCCTCCTGCCA